CTATTGTCCTCAACGAACAACTTGATTTAAATAATAGTCCTCTCCTGAACCTATAATCCAGATCCCAAAACCTACATTATATTGAAAGCTTTGTTATGTTCATGGATTTTACAGGTATATGAAACGCAGGTACCGGGTATCCGGTATATCAAATCATTTATGATAGAATAAGCAACATAAGTATAAATTACTCAGATTTAAATGTAATCAGTTAGTTTTGGAAATGGTGTAATAGCCGAAACCGGTCAACAATAAAGGAATATAGTGGAAAATAGACAAAAGTGTGTTTTTATAGTGTATCCTCAGAAAACTATTTCTATTCTTACCTGAAGAGACAACATCATTGCAATAATGATTGTTAAAAATTTGCAAGTAAATCAACAACTTGACACTACCATAGCATGCAATTTGTTTGTCAAGACCTACTTAAAAATTTTATTTAACGTGATTAAGCATCCTTACCGCCCTAGTTAGTGTTTATAAATAATCTGTAAATACTGAATATTGAAATTTTAATGTTATTTCAACTCTAGTAATTTTATTAATACGTATTCGAGTTTTTAAGTTGTGTTTGCTTTTTCAAAATTGAAGGTACTGACGTTTGATTAAGAAAATTGCCAAGTGATTGAAACTTTGCACCAGCCATGTTGAAATTTTTATAGCAAATTTTTAATTTCTCTCTAAAAATGTCTGTATAAGTAAAAATGTATCAAAAAAGTTAAACTCCATGATGAGTTTGTTATGTATACATGAATTGCTGACAATTAATCGAACTTCTTTTTTAAAATAAAGGATATATCTGTCAAAAATAAGCAAAACGTTAACAACTTTTTCAAGTAACTTTTTGTTAAATTCGATCTAGAAATGCACTTTTTCAATTTTTTTCAAAAAAAAAGTTCAATTTGACAAACACTGAACGTCAGTGGGTCGCAGTTGGCCGCATCATTTCAACTTGAATTTAAAGCACAAACAAGTGCCGAAGTTAAATTTCATTGGAACTTTTCGAAAAAAAAGTTTCCCATATGGTGCGCACTTTAATGGTGACACTGTATAATAAGGACACTCTAATGACATGAATAAAAACACTGTTTTTCTAATTACTACTAGTTGAAAATAAACAAGTCATCAATCACACATATAGATACAATAAGAGCGACTCTATTCGAGTTGAGCTATGCATATTCCTGGGTTTGAATACTCGTGTGTTCAGAGACAATTTCACCGTTGGTGAAATCTACCAAGCTCAACTTGAATATAAGTTGTTTCCGTTTATAAGAGGCTACTTCCGAATGAAATATCTCAGTGAGAACTTATTCAATTCAAGTGAAATAAGCGCCTTTTATATCAGTGCACTTTTGCGAACGAAACACAAGTAGATTGATTCCATCGGCATGAAAAATGTATGCTCGAGATTCGACGAACTCGACAAAGGCCGACAAAGGCCCGCGACACGTCAAACGGCATGGATATGATTTGGGAGGGTTTTGAAGTTGACGTGACCATATGGTTACGTTGACCATTGAACAACATAAAAATATTCAGGGAGCCGCCCTGAATATTTTTATTAAAAATGATTTGCATTTCTCTCGTAACTTGCAGGAAACAAAACTCGAAGCATTACACCTTTACTTATTTTAAAAAGTAGTTCACTACTAATTCATAATGAGATTATATTTCAGCGTTGTTGGCCCAAAGTCATGGTCAGGTTTTATAATACTAATTTGAATATTACCTCACTGATCTACTGAAACCATATCTTCGGAGAATGGTCATGGAAAAAGTATATAAGTGTGATTTTTATAATACCAATCACAGTCGAGTCAAGTGTTTGTAGGACATACACATAAGTACAACATGTTCACAAAGGTAAATACTTCGGTCACAATTTTCTTTTCAATTAAAAATCCGCCAATACAGATTCTATACATCTGTGATAGTGCAATAGGCATCATCACAGAAACTGTTTCAATCTCTTTCAGAACCTCAGAATGAATATCGTCAAAATTTGAAAAATTTAATTTTCAAAATAAATATCTCATGTTGATCTGGACTTTGCTTTGTCACAAATGTGGAATTATTGCATTGGTCCATTCATATAGATTTCCATAACCTCAATATATATTCAAATGATTATTTTTCAGTGTTTAGCTGTTCTTGCCTTCGTCGCAGTCTGTCAAGCAGGAGTTTTTGAACTGCCCCAAATCCATGGATATGCTGCACCACAGAGGCATATCGAAGATTATGATGTGAGTATCGAAAATTCGATAATTATCAATCACTATTCTGAAACCAATCGTATGCCAATCACAATTTTTGTCCGTTTATATGAGTCCATTTCAAACTGTCATATTTCAGTGAATACTTATTCAATTCAATCGAGTTAAGAGCCAGATGATACAATGCACTGTTGCCAATGTAAAAAAGTCGATTGAATTCGCCAGCATAGAGATTGGCAGCTCGGTATTCGATGAAGAAGACGAAGACCGTTTTTGCCTGGTCGTAATTGGCGAAGGTTCTGCCTGTGAGAAAGTAATCAAAGTGTTGAAAAAATTGACTGAAAATCGCTCATCTATATCATAAAGTAATTGACTGAAAATATGTAAATAATCATAATTTGGAACAAAAATGAACAGCATCAATGTTTAGAGTACAACATTCTTTATCGTTGCTCGAAATTTCAAACTCGACACTTCAAGTTGGCACTTCAACAATGAAATATCATCTAACAGTCATTTATTCTATCCTCAGATTGTAATCCAGTATTTGAAAAATTTCAAACTTTGCTGAAATCACTGAATTTCGATTCGTCTACTCCTTAAACTTCTTGTTATGAAAATTTGTGGTAATGTTTATCAGAATCATGTGGAGTTCAACTCGAACCCCCTTCTGGGATGATGAACGCCCCCTCAATTTTCAAATTACCAATAGTCTAATCCGATTTTCACCAAAATGTTTCTTCTACATAATCATCAAGCAACGAAGTTGAAATGATATACCTCAATAATTTACTTTCAGGATCACCCAAAATACGAATTCAACTACGGAGTACAAGATGGCCACACTGGAGACCACAAGTCCCAACACGAACAACGTGATGGTGATGTAGTCAAAGGGTACTACACTGTAGCTGAACCTGATGGTACTCTCCGAACCGTCCACTACACCGCTGATGACCACAATGGTTTCAATGCTGTGGTAGAAAAATCTGGACACCCAGTACACCCAGCCCCTGCTCATGTTGCTCCCGTACATCATGAAGCACCTGCTTTCTATCATCATTAGTTTCTGTACAAGCCATATTTATAGATATTGTATATTTCATGTTATTATTTTTTTAATAAAAACACTGTTATACTCAAATATTTTTTAATTATATCTTTGAAGTTTTTCTCAGATATTTTCGACATTTTCAAAATCCAAGAATAATTCTTCTGTATCTCTGTGAGTAAAATACAACTGGTTATTCACAATTCAAGACATACTAATGGAAATTATCACTCTTACTTATCCATTTATCCCTTCAACTATTCCTTCATCCATTCATTTGTATTTATATTGTTGAGATATAGAAATGAATATTTCTTATACGGTATTTTCTACTTGTAATGAATATTATCATTATCATTAATTAATTCATTCTTTCATTCAACAATCAATTACCACTTCAATTTTTTCATTCAACGATTGTTCAGTTATAGAAATGAATATTTCCAATACCGTATTTTTATTTTGGAATAAATTAAATTATTTATTCATTCATTAACAATATCACTATTTACAATAAGAAATAATATAACAGTAATGTGTGAAGAAATAATATCTACCAAATGATATTGAAACTGAAGCAAATAGAGAAAATGCAAAACAACAAATCAGATTTGGATTAGAACTGCAGCATACAACATTGGGTGTTTGATAAATGCCAATGGGCAGTGAAATGATTGATACTATTTTTGTTGAAGTTACGGGGATTCGACACAACGGACTGTTATAACTTTAATTACAATGAAATTTAATGCTGAATAAAGTAGACTGTATTGTGCTATAAATATTTCTATTGAATAAATTGATAGATGTAGCCGTCACTACGTGGAAATCATAATGAAGAAAAGAAAATAGAAACTTTCTATGTTTTCCACCATTTTTATTTGTAACTAACGTTACTGCAGTTTCGTCCTATTAGGACATTAAACTCAAATTAATGTCCTCAGTCGATCGTTTACTAAACCAGTGAATTAAAATTAATCCATCAAATTGTGAGGATATTCCTCTCGATAGGACTATGTGACCGTAAAATGGGCGAAGCGAGCGGTACGTTGCCCAAACAAATCATCCATTTTGATAAAACAATTGTATTATCTACACGTGTTGTTGAATCTCGTCTTGTCTTTTTCGGAACAAGATAAGAGGATATTTCTTTCAAAAAAGCATTTTTCGGCAAGACAAGAGATTGGGTCATCTTGACTAGGCCTGACCAGACAACTTAGTCTTCTTTTGAAAAAAGAGGACGAGAGTAGTCGAGAGAAAAGTAGCATAATTGATATTCAATATATTTTTCATGTATGGCTCGCATAGATAAGTGTGAGTTCTGTCGGCCTTCTCTTGTTTATTTGGGTTTTGTTGTGGATCAACAAGGTTTGAGAACAGACCCGGAGAAAGTTTCAGCGATTGTTAATTACCCAACTCCGAAAAACACCACGGAAATCAAACGTTTCATCGGTCTTGTTAGTTGATATCGTCGCTTTAATAAAGATTTTTCGTCAATATGCTCTTCCATATCATATCTTCTTCATGGTCGTAAAAAAGGCCAACAAATAACTTGGACTCCTGAGACAGAGGCTGCTTTTACTGAGATTAAGTCTCGCCTAACGTCTGCTCCAGTACTTGCTAGCCCTGACTTCACAAAACCATTTGTGATTCAGTGTGACGCTTCTGATACAGGTGTAGGAAGTCCCTCCCGTATCAAACTGAGCAGCCTATCAGCAAAAGATGTTGGCATCCCAAATTTAGAATTATTAAATTTGCCTTTTCAAAATTTGGGGGGTTACAAAGAGAATCATAAAACGTGGGATTCTTCTATCTATAAAGTTGCCCAAGCTATTAGATTAGCAAAACACGATGTAACTGAGTATTCTCCTGCTTTCTCAAATTTTGCAAGGAACATTCCTGTTACTGGATATTTTTATGGCAAAACCTCAGAAAATGAAACTAACATCCCTACAGTCTCTGATAAGTCCCAACGAATTGATATTCAAGAGTTACCTAAATTATTTATTGATGTTCGCAGGAAATTACATCAAGCCTATCTTAGGAATGCTCGTCAGTATAACTTGAGAAAGCGGGAACTCACATTTCATGTTGGTGACAGACTTTGGAAGCGAAATGTAACTCTGTCTGCAGCGGGTAATAATTATTCTGCTAAACTGGCTCCTAAATTTATACCTTGTATTGTTTCTAAGGTTATATCTAATTTGGTATATGAACTAAAAGACATGGATGGTAAAGACCTCGGACGTTGGCATGTTAAGGATCTGAAATCTTCCTTTGTAGACAATGATTCAAACTTGACTGAAGAGGAGTACTTTAGTGCTGATTCTGATGATTCAGATCATTAATTATCTTTATCTTTACTTATCTTATCTATTTATCTTTCCTTGGTTTTTTTCCTATGTATCTTTTGCTCTGTGGACGGGGGCATTAGAATTCCTCCACCATGGCATTACCAGATGTTAGGTACAAGTGCTATTACTGGCCACTTTTAGCATTTTATAACCTTCCGCTTTTGCTCTGTGGACGGGGACATTATAATTCCTCCACCATGGTATTACCAGATGTTAGGTACAAGTCCTATGACTGGCCACTTTTAGCATTTTATAACCTTCCGCTTTTGCTCTGTGGACGGGGGCATTAGAATTTTTCCACTGGACACTTTCAGCATTTGATATATTTTACATGCTTTATTTGCCATTGATAATTACTTGAAACAATTTTGGGTAATAGTAGGTCATGAAGTAGCTACCTCACTTTTTCCTTAGAATTGAAATTCTATATCTTTGTGCTTAAGTGGCATTTTCACGGTGATGTAGTAGTACTTATGCATTTATCCTGAATGTATACTGGTGTTGTCATTGGTATTTTCGTTATATCCTGATTATCTTCTCTTTTATGTTCCTTGTCTATAATTTGGTCTCTTTACCTAATNAGTACTAATGCATTTATCCTGAATGTATACTGGTGTTGTCATTGGTATTTTCGTTATATCCTGATTATCTTCTCTTTTATGTTCTTCGTCTATAATTTGGTCTCTTTACCTAATTATCTAACGTTACATTATCTTAGATTATCTTTTACCTTATCTTATCTCTTTGTCAGTTCCCTGAGGGAAAAGTCGATGTCGAATGTAACTGATTGTTAATTGTTAATGAGTTATATTTGTTTTTGGAAGTATTTATCATTAGGTAATTCCATATGGAAAATTAGAGTTTCCAGAAGAATAACTTATTCAACAAATTTGAGAGATAGATTACCTATCACTTTTGTGATTTTTTCTAAATTAATATTTTGGAAATAAATCAACAAATCTTTCATCAAAAATTTGAGTTACAATTCACATTATTACCTTGCTCTTTTTCAATGATTTACATTGAGATTACTGTGTCACTGAAATACAGTTTCATTGATAGTATCTTTCCTTAAGGTATTTCTTTATTGAAATTTCCTTACTATGATTTCCTGGATCGTATTTCTAGGAAGTATTGATGGCTTTTGACAAGTTTTTACTTTCTTATGTCTGTAGATTTTGCTATTGCAATGTGTGATTACTGGATGGAGGGTTCTGCTAAAATACCAAACTTAGGCGGTTTGGATTATGCATTTTAATGCCTTTCCCTTTTTGTTTGTAGTAGCCTGAGTGTGTTGGGTGCAAACATGGCACAGAACGGCAACCTGACATATTTTATGTATCTGTGGAGGTTTCTCCAATATTGTCAGGTAGGGTCCATGGAAGGGTGAACTTTGGGGGGTATTGTCAGGCTAACGTGGAGGTCTAGGCTGGTCAACGTGTGAAGCTCGCCAAAGGGCGGTCGGGCAATACTACTGGGTGATCCTGAGCTCCATGGATTCGTCGTGTCTGGGGATTTGGTTGCAGTGCCACACATAGGAATATCTCCGAATTTGTCGGGAACTTATGGCTTAGCCATTTTAAGTTTGGTGGAGCTATAAATCACCCCAATTGAAGTGGACAATTGGCTATTTCCTTCAATAATTGAAATAATTTCATTTTTTTGTTTCCACAAGGGTTTTCTTGTAGGTTTTCTCTAGTCCTAATGTACTGATGGGTAGGGTTGTCCATTTTTGAATTAGGAGACGAGTAGTATCGGGTGTATCTGCGGCGCAGCATTACCATCCAGCAGCGAAAAGATTACCTGATCCTGGTTCAGGGATGAACTTCCTTCCTTGTCTTTGCTTTCGGCGGAGAGTTCCAGCGACGACTCCCTAGCACCAGTCTAACTATTGTTGTTGACTGTTTTATCTTTAGATCAAATTTATTATCGTTTGGTACTGTATCTTTGATTTTTTCATATCTATATATAAAAAAAACTCAAGCATCATGGGTTTTCGTTTTTTTTACCGGGGAGAGGTGGTGTGTAACGAATATTTCGTTACATTCATATATTCTTAATGTTACCTATAATATCAATGGTTCAATCACCACAATTTTGATCATATTATTCTCCGTAAACGGTATAATAGTCACTGCCGGCTGGATCTGCGAAAAAAAAACGCAAAGACCGAGGGCATTCGTTTTCGACGGAAACGATAGAAAGACCTCTTCCTTCCCAGCGTTCGACGAGAACGGTTGATATCTGGTACGTGTTGACCTTTTGTTTGAAATTATCTTTATTCATAGTAAATTTGTGGAGATCTGTTTAAGTATATCTTTTGCCTTTCCTGGATTTTCTATTCAGTCATAGAAATCAATTTAATTCTGTAATTAGTGATAATTACACTGCATGTGAATATAAGGTCAACCAGATATCCTCCCTTCTGTATATATGCACTTTGCTTGTTATTTCCCTGGCAATAGCTTTGGTTTCTTATTACTTTAAAGTATTGACAAGCTATCAAAGATTGTAGCATATTTTTATTTGCCTTCAATTTAGTACCTTATCTTTAATATTTCCTTGGATTAGTTGTCAATTTGTTTGATGATTTTCAGTGTAGTATTAAAATAGTTAATGATTGCCAAACTATTATTCCTTTTTTTTTTAAAAAAAACCTGTCGGTCGTAAGCTGCGGTGACGCCTCGTGTGTTTTGAGCCGCTTCTCTGCCGAGTCGGCGCCGACACGCCAGAAACCGCTCCGTGTGTTTTGTCTCTTACGCTTTAGTAGATTCTACAATGTTTTATGTCTCAAACTTGGAAATCTATCCTGGAAAACAACCCGATCACATTTTGAACACAGGTAGAAACATAACAATGGATAATTATTTTACGTATATTCCATCAGCGTTAGATTTGCTGGAAAAAAGAACAACTCTAGTTGGAGCTGTAAGAAAAAACAAAAAGGAAATTCCTCCAATTTTTGTTCAAATGAAGGAACGTCGGTCATGTAGTAGTATGTTTGCATTTCTAGTGCCCAAAAAAAAATAAAAATGTGCTACTTATTTCAACTTTACATTCTGGCGACAAAGTTGATGAAGACACTCTTGGCAAATGTAAACCAGAAATAATAACATTTTATAACGCAACTAAAGGTGGCGTTGATGTTGTGGATGAAATGATATCCCAGTATACTGTTTCCAGAAACCCCCGCAGATGGCAATTGACAGTATTTTATTGTTTATTGAATGTTGATGGAATCAAGAGCCAGATTATCTATACAGGCAATACAGAAAACAAACTCGAGCGTCGAATGTTCCTGAGAGAATTAGCTTTGCAACTTATGAAGCCACAGGCACAAAGTAGACTATCCCAAATTTACCTCCAAAGTTGTGGGAATCAATAAGGCAACTTGCAGGCGTTGACGAAGTTCCAGTACCAACTGTTAGTGTCAGCGGCATGTGCTCATTGTGTCCACGTTGTAAGAACAGAAAAACCAAAAAAACATGTTGTAAGTGCTCTGTTTACTTATGCAATGATCATTCCATAGTGATATGTCAAAGATGTATTCAGAGCCAAGAACTCCCAACAACCCCCTAGCTCTGTGTTATTAGGCTAAAATGATTTACATTTATGATGTTTTATTAATATATTATTAGGAGACACTTGTTTGCTGAATTATTTTGGCTAAAATACCCATACAATCGGTGAAATCCGCAATGTGAGCAAAATACTCACGCGCGACAAACCACGTTTGACAGAAGGTAGCGACAAATGACGGGTTAAATTAATAGTACAGAGCCTATAACTTATGAGCTAGAAGATGTGAATGGACATCCAATCAAAGGTTGCTCTTATAAAATGGAGTTGAATAAAGCGAAAGATCCCAATACATATTTGGTTGAGCGAGTTTTGAAAAAGAAAGGACGTCGCCTATTTGTGAAGTGGTTGGAATTTTCTGGAGACCATAACTCTTGGATTGATGAAAGCTCATTAATGTAATTGCAGTATTATTGTTCTTAATGAAAAATAAATATATTATGATGAAATTGAATATTTTTTATCGAATTTGGAATGAATTTGGGGTTCTATATCGTAAAAAAAGTAGTAATATTCAAACTGATTTTATTCATATTAATACAATTATTTAATTATTAGCGTTCGTTGTGATAGGTGGCACCATAACCAATGGAATATATGATCGAATAACGTTACCATCACCAAAATTTTCACATAATATCCATCCACTTCTACACATACTACATAAATTGTTTCAACAATCCACATTATAGTTATCACAACGCATACAACGTTGAATTAATAACTCGCGATCTGCTGCACAATTTACACAAATATTTCTACAAATTCCCATATTGTTACACACGATTTCGCTAAAACATTTGTTGCACTGATGATGGATGCATACTTCAGGAGTTGAATCATTTCCCGTCTTTGGAATTGTGACGAGACTCGGAACTTGAACTGGATTTTCCAACACACATTTACGACACAAACCGGTACATGAATTATTATACGCCTCAGGCCAATAACCTTGACAATTATTACAAAATATATTTTGATCAATTTTGATTGGATCGCCACACACTTTCGGTTTTGAATTCCATTCTTTCGGAAAAGGCATATTAGCATTAACTATTAGATGCTGCAGTATTCAACTTACAAATTCAACTGCGCTCTCATGAACCTATTTTTCCTATCATAAACTCATAGAGAGAATAGAGGGAGTAGAATGGTCGGGCTACCACCTCCACAATCAAACAAATCATGAAAATCGACTGCTGATTCTGAACTTCACAACTTCACTTACTATCACCAGTACTATTAGTAGTTTCAAGCTTTTCACTCAGAAATAAAGAAAAATGAATTCTGCAAAAATTAATGAAGTTTTGACAAGGTTGACGCTCGAAGACGAAAATAATTGGTTTTCGGATGAAGAGGACGAACTTCCTAACATTATTATCGGAAGAGATGATAACATCGGAGGAGAAAACGATATAATCAATGTATTAGATGACATCGTTGTAGAAGAAGACGCTGGAGCCATAGCTGTTGCTGATGATCTGCAGGATATTGATGGTGTAATGGATCCGGAACTTCAAGATGAAGGTATTGATGATGATCCAGCGACAGACAATGGCAACATTATAATAGGGAGCCGGTAGTTGAACATTAGTGATAGAGTGTGTAGCATATTGAATATTTCTTAGGCTAAGGTTGGCAACATTGATAATGTTGGTGCAAAAATGTCATTCGTCATTCTTGTGTCAAGTAGAAGTCTGGTAGAGAAATGAAATGTTCATGTTGAAATTTTGCTGTGTGATTTATTCAAAAGTTTCATCGGCATTTCGCTTGAGATACAACAATTATTTGGCGACGAAATAAATTGGTTGTCAAGAAGGAACTGCAGCAATATATTTTTTTCGGACGGAGGTCTGATATTGTTTACTTACTTTTGGCAATGTATAGAATGCCTAGGTATTCTATACAATGCCTGATATTACACTTTGCCGGTAACATATACATGTTTAAACAGTAAATACATATTAAGTTAACTCCTATGACTCACCAGAAGAATATCCACTTCTATGTGATTTAAATGTATGGAGTTATGTGTGTTGGAAGAAACAGGGGCCATCTCTCCCGGAATTACCCTATAATTGAAAAACACCATTTAATTTAGTTCTTACCAAAGATGATTGTGCCAATTGATTGAAATCGGTTAAAGTTTAAAAAAATTAATTATAATTTCATCATTCCCTTAGGGCAACTATCCCCTAGGCCATATTCTCGTTGCGGCATCTAACCCACACATTAGGCATATATCCTCATTCATGAGACTTTTTTTTCTTTTATTACAAAACCAATGAAGAAGATATTATGAAATAATGTTTATTTTCTTCATCTATAGATACACTAACTATAACAATGGTACTATATTTTTAAATAGTCATCTATTGTGTTCAGCAAGCACATCCATCTCACATTTACCCTAATAGTGATCTCATTCTATCAGAAGCCTATGAATGTTTCCAACATA